AGTAAAAAAAACTCAGTATCGGTTATGAAAACTTCTATAAAAAACACGTCATGTAGGTCAGCTAATTTCTTTCTCGGAATCAGCAGCTTTTATAGATAATTGGTTCATTTGCAACTGGGAATACGCTTCTCTGCTTTCTAAACGCATTAGAGTAAGCTTTAGTGTCCACGTCAGTTGTTTAGCCGTTGTCATCACGCTATACGTTTCATCTTGATAATTGTTTATTTGCTGCACTATATGACCCACACGTCAGCCTGCATTCTATTTTTCAAGCCTATAAAATCAATAACCAACCTAGTTTTTTAAGTAAAAAATTCAATTTATTGTTTTAAAATAATTAGTGTAAAAAAATTTAATTAATCTTTCATTTTAAAAAACGGATTTTTTCTGTTAAAAGTTTAATTTGAAAGGTATATTACAGTACTTTGATAAATCAATTATGAAATAAAAGCATTCACTTACTGACAGAGTGTTCGTATGCTCAGTGAAGCTGCGACTCCAGTTTTCTTTTACACACTTTAATGAGAATCATTATTCTGTACATTAGGGAGGAAAAATGAATACTGCAAAGTAAATTAAAGTTGAAAGGTGTTGCTTTGAAAACGACTTTACACTAGCGGTTTTGCAGTAGATCAAAAAACTCTACTTTGACCATAAAAGTACTTTTTTTTTAATAATTATTTGAGCGACTGAGTCAAGTCAATTTTAATTATTTATATTCATTACATTATCTTCAATTGATATTATTTAAGGCCTCTGACAGTCATATCTTGAATCTTTTATATTTAAATTTAAGTATTATCAAGTATACGTTGCTCAGATGAAGAATTTCCCGAAAAACTGACGTAAAATATTATAAATGTTACAATTATTTTTTCATAATGGAGATTTAAAATCCATGACTTCCAATGTTCCAGACGTGAAAACGGCTTTCATGTGCCTCACTCATGTCCTGCAGCAGTTCTAATTAAATAATGCGATTCAAGAACGTGCCCGAAATACTGGGGTATTCGTTTTCGTACTCAACTGTAAGTACCCACCGGGAATACATTGTTCGACGGATTTCATGTGGAACGGAGATAACGGGTATGTTATATTCTGTATTTAATGATATAAATTGTAAATTATAAATTCTCATTTAAGGCAATTCATTTTTAAAACAATACGTCAATATTTGACACAATAGTTAGTTTCTACTAAAACTATATTTGATTTTCGAAACAAATTCTTACGCTAGAAGATTTTTTTAGATTTAAGTAAATTATATTTGGTTCAAGAATTTTTCAGTGCACCAAATTATAACATAAGCTTCGAAAGAGCAGAATATAATTAAGAACTTAATATTTTTCAAATCGTCCAGCTCTAATCTGTTTTTGGAACAAAAAATTCGTAAATTTTCACCTATTTTAAAGGTATTTTCACTACTCTCAAATAAATATAATGATTAATCGAAAGTATTACAAGTCTTTGGATCAAATGAACCAAAAAGTAGTCAGTGATTCTTTGGCGAATGAACAAACTAATCAAGGTGGAGTGTAAATAAAATTTTTTCAGAGTCCCGAACGGTCCGGAGAATCTGAAGTAGACTCTAGATCAATTTAGAAGTTTATTAGAACTTAGAGTGCGCAATATAGTGCTTTTATTACCTCTCCAGTGGCGCTGTTATTACAGATTTAGTTTTATTAGTTGATTTTCGTGAAAAAAATCGGGAATATTTTTAAGCTTGTGACTCAAAATTTGACAATTAAAATTTGCAGGTAAGTAAATGACATAACTAAATCATAAAATAAGATAAGACTTCAACAATTGGTTTTTTGACTTTAATTAAAAAAAAATTTTAAACTATTTTAATCCAGTCATTTTGTTTGAATTTAGTAAATATACTGTGCGAGCGTGCCTCCTCTTCCGGTTTAAAGCCCGCGTTTCCTTGTATACTTTATTTACGATGTGCTTCTTTTCCGTCACTCATACATTTTTTTTTTTTATTTTTTATTTCTTGCGCTCCTCTTTGGTTGTTTTCCATCTCTATCAGTCTATCTTTGTTTTTATCCTTCGGACTTTTTCCAGCGAGTGGCGCGAATTCCCACGGGATAATAAACCGCCCTGGTCATCCTTCCCAGGCTATTTCCTGTCCAAGAGAACAGGCAAAAGACTATAACCACCGTTACCTACTCTGTCTAGTTTATTCTGTCTGGTGTGTACACACGACTGACATCACTGTCTCATAAAATAAAAAATGCATATTATTTTTATAAAACATCATGGTGAAATATGCTTCTGAATATTGAGTTCTATCCAACTTTTACATGACCAGACCATGCTATAACAAATAATATAAAATAAAAAAAATACTAAAAATAAACAGAGGCTACTACATAAAATGTTTCTTACATTTTAATATTTGTTTACTACTCCACTATTATTCGAGTGATTTATTTGTTTCAAGAATATAAATATACACACTTGTATCTATTAAAAAAAAATATAGTAGCTTTTATTTGATGATTATTCTTTATTTAACTATTGTAAATAAATCACTCATTAAATATTACCAGGAATATGAAAAATTGGAGTTGAAAATCAATCATATGAAATGGCACAACAAGGTCGAACAAATATTTGCACTTTTATATATTGCTTTAGCAATAAATAGACAAACCAATTACTTGAATTTATTTAACTAAATTATATCAAAGTGAATATTAAATTTCCCATCGTTCTTTCGGTTGCTATTCAATCAATTGGGACTTTTTAATCAGATAAATAAATAACTTTTTAATATTATTTTTTCAATTTATTTTAAAAGTACCGAAACTAAGTATATTGTGATTAAAAATATCGGAAAATCATTAAAGCAAAGTTTTTTTACTCAAAATTCGTAATTCACGACAGTAGTCAATTTATGATGATAAGTATTTAGGCTGCATTCAAAAATTCTCTATCTCTAGGTACATAATTAAAAAATGACCTTTTATATTGTGAACTATTGACATTTTTAAAGATATAAGCTCATCCTGATGTTACACTCATCGAAACCTTTCATTTGAATACCCACATCAATTTTTCATATATTTTATATATTTATATATATATATATTATATATATGTATATATGAAAAATATATCAAAAATGCATGTGGGTATTCAAATGGAAGCTCTTGATGAGTGTAACATCGGGATGAGCTTATATCTTTAAAAATATCAATAATTAAGAAATGACCTTGTATCTTCACCTACTGACATTTTTAAAGATATAAGCTCACCCTAACAATACGCTCATCGAGACCTTTCATTTGAGTACCTACATCAATTTTTCATATATTTTATATATTTATATATATTATATATATGTTTATATGAAAAATATATCAAAAATGCATGTAGGTACTCAAATGAAAGCTCTTGATGAGTGTAACATCGGGATGAGCTTACATCTTTTAAAATGTCGATAGTTAAAAAAGTACAGTGCAATTTAACAAAAGTCATTATTTAATAAAGCAAAATTTTATTTATTTATAGTGTCCACAAGTCACGGTAGTCACATAGTGACTACAAGGTTACTAGTTATTAATTTTTTTTTCATTTAAGAACTTTTTTTTTAAGAAATTTCTATTGTATATCATGTATATATAGTTATAAAATCCAAACTTGATCAACGTATGTACTTTATTCCACCGCGCAAACGCAAAGAGTAAGCGCGCGTATACCTAAAATTTCTTAGCTTAAAACCAACGATTCAGTAAGCGTCGCGACATCAGTCCGAACATGCGGCTTGTTGCGATCCCATAAGAGCCACTAACCACGTGGTCTCAGTATATCACATTTATGTTTTCAATAATTGTTGCACTTAAATAAAAAAAAGAAAAAATATTAATCAATTAAAAAATCTAGTGGCGGAATATAAATATATATTAATCGAATAATATAACTCTCAACTATCCAACTATTAAATTTAATAAATTATGAAAAGAGGTAGATTAATATGATGCGTTAAAATATAATTAACGATAAATAGTATAATGAACAATAATTAAATAATAAATGAAAAAGGCAATTAGTAAAGCTTATTTGTACTGTGAAGTTTAACACCCACCGGCATTTTGTGAATTTTCGTGCTCCAGAGAAGCTTAATGAATTATTTATAAACCGTCCCTCGGTGATTGCGGTTGCTCTTTGGTGAGAATTAACTTTATTACGTATTTTAAAAACACAATTACAAAAAAATATATAAATAAAGGGAAGATAAAATAGAGTAAATGAAAATAATAATAATAAAAAAAAAAGTCGCGTGTCGCTATAAATATTCATTTAGGAATTAACCAGAGTTGAGCACAAAATAAGTATATTCATATTATAAAAGTAATTTGTCATCATTATTACATTTTTTTTTACATTTTTGCTTACGGAATAAAATATATGAATAATTACTCAGTTTTACAATTGTAAATCATTTTTTACTGACTTTTTTTTATGATAAAAATTTATTTGCTACAAGGTTCTCTTTAAAAATTATTTGAAACAAAAATTTCCACTAAAATTTAATAATAAATTTTTTATTGTATAATTTTAATCAAATTTTTTAAATTTTCTAACTTGGAACATTTTTAGAGTTTCCATCGCAATAAATTTATTTAATTCAATCAATTGAACAAAAAAAAAAACATTGACGTTGAAAATTTATGAGGGATTAAACATAAGGATTAGCGAGCTCGTCAAACACATTCAATATTACCAGTAAAAAAAAAACACACACACACTGTATTTACTGATCAGCTGAAAACATTTAAAGTAAATAAAATAAAAAAGATTATGTTGTAGCTCAATAAATATTGGGTCGCTGAATAAATCAAAATGTCAAAGATTCCCGGGGAAAAGGATCGATAGCCAGTGAGTTATCATCTCGAGGATGATAAATTTGATTGTCCGACTGAAAAATCGTAAAAAAGCAGCTGGGTGGAGGCGAGTCCATATAAAGAAGGAGAATAAATTCACAGAAGACGATGTCGTGTGAAAAAGCGTCACGGCGCCTGAGGTACATTATCGCCAAGGCTAAACGGTTCGGTTTAGCTGAGTATGAACTGGCTGATTTATCTGGCGCTAAAAAAATCACGACATCCAAATCCGGTCCGTTTAACACTTGGTATCTTATCGCCCTCGTAATTGCTATTATCATTTGCGGAACACTGGTTCTTGCGCTTGTTTGTAATCCTTGTTCTTCGAGAAGTCAGATTCATGTTCATTGAAATTTTTGGTAAGTTTTATTTTTATCTTTTTATTACTAAAAATAACAATTATTTTTTACGGGATTATACGCGTTGAGAAGGACGAAAAAAAGGTTTTTTATCATTTTTTCTTGTCATGTAAAGATTAAAAGGCCATTTTATCTCGTATTAACAAAAAAAAAACTGTTAAATTTACAGGAATTTATTTGTAAAAATAATTTATGGAATTATATTGAATGTTTTTATAAAATTATATGAGAGTTTTGGTCATATATAATTTTATACAATTTTTCTAATGAAAAATATACAAATTTTCTAATGTAAAAGTAAAATTTAAAAATTTTAAATTTAACAGATTTTTCTATAATATTAAAAAAATATATTTTAAATATATTAAAAATCTATAAAAAATATATATAGTAAATATATTTTTAATAACTAATTTTTGGCCGATTTTCTTATATATTTTAAATATATTTTAGATATATTCAAAATACATAGCTAAAAATATAAAAAAAATATATTTGAAATATATAAAATATATATTAAAATCGGTCAAAAATTAATTATTAAAAATATATTTACGATACATAATTTATATATATTTTTTATATATTTCGACATATATTTTTTTTTTATCATAGGGGCTTCAAAAATACTTATCCAATCAACATTAAATATCCTACGCACATCCTTAAATATTTATCCATTACAAAAACGAAAAAAAATATTTTTTGTCCAATTTTAACCTCGTGTGATCTCTTAATAATTAAATTAAGCCATTTATCAAAAGAAAACTAAAGAATAAAAAAAAAATTTCCCTGTAAAAACAAAAGTATAAAAATGATCCTGGAGTTTGGTATTTCCCAGTCGTAGCAGAGCGACTCAGGTGGTCGTTGATGTTGAGCTAGAAGGCAACCACCAACGTCTCACGGTTCGTTAGATCTTGCAGAGGGTAATGATGCGTTTCATACTACAGTTGTTGGTATGGGCTGCCGGTCTGCCTGACTATACACCGACTACTACTACTGGGGCCGCCACCGCATCTCGATCCCCTCCCGCTTTCCTGTTCTCCCGCATGGTCCTCGAACCACTACAACTACTTGTACAACGTGTATTATGTATTACATAACATTACATCAGTATTATATATGTTTAACAATGTAGTCTGGAGTATGTTGGGCTGGTGTAGGTGTTAGAATGTAAAACCGCTAGCTCTTGTTCTATCACCACCCCCAACTCTCGAAAAATCCCACTACTCAGTCTTCTTTTCAGCTAAATTAAATCGCGAGGTGCATTCTCTCTTTTATTTACTCATTCACTTCCATTCTGTCTATATATGTATTATATAGAGCTTAGGTGTGGGTGAAGAACACGCAGTAGCCAACTTCCAATTTAAAAAGTTGGCACTCGAGTGTGTTAATTAATTTAAAAATAAAAAAAATTTTTTTTTTATGTTTTCAGACTTATTAATGAACGGAGAGCGTGAGTCAATGGCAGTGGATGAAGAAAATAACTATAAAAAGCCAACTATAAATTTTTTTATTTCAATTTTATTATTGTATTAAATTATAAGAAATGTAAACTTTTTGACTCTGAAATTAAAAATCATTTTTAAATATTTTTTTGTGGATTTTATTTAAAAAATATTAAATATAAATTTATCAATAAATTTTTATTGATAAAAAAGTATTTTTAAAATTTTGTCACCTCAAAATAATTAAATAATCAAACATCTTTATTTTCATAGTGTATAAATAAAATTATATTATAAAAATAGAATTAAAAATCTGATAAATTTTTAATAGCTTTCATTGGAATGGAAATGAGTATTTATATTTATATTTATATTTATTATTTATTTGCATAACGATAGCTTGCCTTCATTGTTTTCTAAAAACATCCCGTTAATTATTATGCGGTGCATTTTTAACTAAATTATATTTAAATGTATAATTAATATACCAGACATGAAATTTAAAGGGTATTTTCAGCGGTCTCCGGGTTTTGCTCCGGGTTATTCTCGCTAAGGTTGCCGCTTGTTGATTTATGGTAAACGTATGTATGGAAATTAAAAGATTAAACGCGTGCCCCAATTATTGGCATACCAGTCTGAAGGCTGGATTATTGACGTGCCGTTACAAATATTGACACCTTGATAGTCTAGAGGCACTCCGAGCGTGTCTAGGATTGCTATCGCATACTTGCGACAGCTTAGTCGACAATTAATGTAGTAAGAGATTTATTCAAGATATTTGTATTATTATTTTACTAACTATTTATTTAAACAACAATAATACTTATAATAATTAATCTTTACAATCAATAGAATAAAGAAAACTTTTCCGAAGATGTATTTTATATGATAAAATAGTCTTGACCTGGAGATGTGCCTTTTCATGGTTTCATATCACTCTCACCAATAGTCAATTTATGATGATAAGTATTTAGGCTGCATTCGAAAATGCTCTATCTCTAGATACATAATTAAGACCTTGTATCTTGTGAACTATTGACATTTTTAAAAATATAAGCTCATCCCGACATTACACTCGTCAAGACCTTTCATTTGAATACACACATCAATTTTTCATATATTTTATATATTTATATATATTATATATATGTATATATGAAAAATATATCAAAAATGCATGTGGGTATTCAAATGAAAGCTCTCGACGAATGTAACATCGGGATGAGCTTATATCTTTAAAATATATATTATATATTTGTATATATGAAAAATATATCAAAAATGCATGTGGGTACTCAAATGAAAGCTCTTGATGAATGTAACATCGGTATGAGCTTATATCTTTAAAAATGTCAATAGTTAAAAAAGTACAGTGCAATTTAACAAAAGTCATTATTTACTAAAGCAAAATTTTATTTATTTATAGTTCATAAGTCACAGCAGTCACATAGTGACTGCAAAGTTGCTAGTTTATTATTATTATTTTTTGTAGGCCATGATAAAATGGAAATGAGAATTCACATCGAAATAAAAGTAATAACAAAAATAATTAAATTATAATAATAATAATTTAAAAACATTTACAATTCTTAAAAAAAAAATTTCCTTTGAATGTCGTCATAACATGAAAGGTAATAAATATTTTTTTACAATACTCCCTTTTAGTGTGTGTGTGTGTGTGTTTGAGTTAAGAATAATGAAAAGGAATCCCGGTAGCAATCGATTTCTCCGTTAAATGTAACATAATGAAATGAAATGTAAGGTAGGTGACGGTACATCGTTTGAATATCGTGGCTAATGCTAACGGGTAAAGTGAAGAATGTTATAAAGAAGAGGCAAGAGGTATGTGTACATAGTGCACAGTAAATAATAGCGTATACCTCAATACGCTAGTGAGTCTGAGACCAATACAAGGTTGAGTGAGTGAAGCAGGAGCAGCAAAGTAATACGGGAACGAGAACAAGTATGAGGATGAGGGTGTGAGGAAGTTGTGCATTGCTTTGGCGCGGCCATGTGAACCGAATTGTCATTATACGGTCGAGTGTAAGCGTCGTCACGCGACGGAATAATGGCCGTTTGTATCGGGAACCAAACGCCCGGTGAAATTGCTGGCCTCATGCCTTCCGTCGATTCTCCAACCTCGACAACGACTCGCCCATATATACTCACCCGGTGCAACCTGCAATGTCCACTCTATGTATATATATATATTTATGCATGCCTCAAGTCGATGACCTGTTTAAATTTATGCCCACTGCGATTTATTTTGAGAACTAAATAAACAATAATCTTCCTTCATATATTTAAATTATATCAACTAATGTCACTATTATAAATCACGCCGTTTTTTCCAGTCCGATAAATCTTCATTTTTCACTTAAAAACTTGAGTTACGGCGATTACATGGCTAATGACTTTTTTACACATTCATCATCAATTTTTTTAAACGAAATATATTGCATGTTGAGGCAAAACAAGTTAATAAGTCGGTAAACAATGATAAACATTTAATTATGACTTATTGGATTAATTATTTTTAAAATTTCACTCTTGTTTCAAATTAGGGTAAAAGACCCAATTGTTGACACTTGCAATTTTATTCTAATTAAAAAAATAAAATATTCTCAAAAAACCAATTTTCTTAAAAATTATATTCATTAATTTATTGGAGTTATTTTTTTTTAATTAAAATAAAATTGCAAGTGTCAATAACTGAGTCTTTTTTGCCTTATTCTTTATTGAAGATTTATTTTCTTGAATAAAATTTTTTTATGAGTTTCTAAGCAATTTTATTCTTGTACCAAAAATATTTCTTTTGAATAAACTAGAATTTTTTTCAGTCCAATTATTTTCTGTATAAAAAAATCAAAGCTTATAATCGATATTTCTGTGTTAATTTTTCGCGTTTGGTCGTTGATTCTCGAAGAATGGATGCCAGAACGCATGAAATAACGCAAAAGGTATTGTAACTGCAATTATTTTTTCCATCGACGAGTTATCAACGTCCAATTTTTTCCGATAAAAATTATTACGTTTTTTAGTACGACTTCTATGGCCTGTTTTTTTTTAAAAGAGAATTTAAAGTTCAAACCAAGCGAATAAATGATTTTTTACAGACAGTTTTTTAGTTTTCAGTAGATTTTACAATAATAATATTATTCACAATAAATAAATCTCATAAGCATCAACACAATCTTTTCTGGAGCAGTTAAAAAGCTTTATCCCTTAAATACTGCTCCACTTAAACATTAACTCAAAGACAGCACTTACACGTTTTTACTGAAATAAATAGAAAAAAGCTCACGGTGTAATGAAGTGTGTGTATATATACCCAGTTCTTTCTCATCTAGACAATTTATTAATTTTTTATGTTTTTTTGTTCAATGGGTTCTAACGAGAAGCATTTCATTGTATAGCGATAGCGTGTAATCCCGGGAAGATCGAGAACTACCAAGAGAACACGGTGTGTAGTGTATCTATGGGCTCTCGTAAATTGTTGGTGCTTTCGCGCTACTTAAGTAATGAGCCAAAAGTTTTCCCCAAGTGTCGGCACGTGAGAATAGCTCACACACTACTGAACCGGTAAATAGTCTTCTCTGTAGATGCGAAATACCAAAATTAGTTACAGTTTATTAGTACAGTATAGAACAATGTTTTTCCTACTTGAAATAATTAAAAATAAATCATGCACTTTTTCCATAGATTTATCGCCGGTAGTACTTTTCTCTTATTAGTATAAATATCTTTAAAAGCTTTGTGCAAAACTCAAGTAAGCGCTAATTAAATTCTCCACTGAAAGTTTTGACTATCAGTATAAATAAATACAAAATAATAAAATTAGTCAGTCTCGAAAGTTTCAACGTCAAAATATTTTCAAAGATATTATAGTTAGGTGTATATAGGTAGCTTTGTTCTGTTCTAGTCTGACGTTTCTCGGATCAAAGACCGCCGACAATAAAAATGTTAATTTTTGCGGCCTTTATGCATTCAGTGTCAAAATATTTATCAAACATAAACTAGCTTCTCTTCGGTGGCAGGAATACTCCCGAATAAATTGAAAGAATAAACTAAAGCTCACCTTTCATGAGCCTGTGAAGTTGTTTAATTTAAAATTCTAGTACACGGTGTTTAATTTTGAGCTTTTTTATTTATTAAATAATGAATTTTGTTAAATTGCACTCTACGTTTTTAACTATTGACATTTTTAAAAATATAAGCTCATCCCGATGTTACACTCATCAAGAGCTTTCATTTGAGTACCCACATGCATTTTGATATATTTTTCATATATACATATATATAATATACATAAATATATGAAAAATTGATGTGGGTACTCAAATGAAAGGTTTTGATGAGTGTAACATCGGGATGAGCTTATATCTTTAAAAATGTCAATAGTTCACAAGATACACAAGGTCATTTCTTAATTATGTATCTAGAAATAGAGCATTTTTGAATGCAGC